ATTGCAAACTCACTTTGATGAATATATTAACTTTTTTTATTTTTTCGTTTGGTGTCTTTCGCTTGGGATTATGTTTAAATTTTTCTTATTTTTACCGAAAGAGAAAGTATTTGTCTCAGTTTGACAGCAACCGCGCATCACCGTCCAGTCGCCGCCGTCTGCATTGCCCCGGTCTTCCACCACCTATAGCCCCGGTTCAGGAGAAGAAAAGGTAAATGAGAGGATAATAGGTGTATTAATGTCTAGGGGTATTTATGTAATTTCACACAGTAATATATCAATTTCTGAACGTGAGATGCAATCACGGTTAAATACTAACATAATGGAGATTTTTTGCAATATTTTATAAACTACGAGTAGATTTTATAAAATTTTTGGACTATAAGGGATTTTCATAAAATTCGGAAAATCACAAGAGATTTTATATTATTTTTCCTATTTATTATATATCAAATCAATATATATATATATCAAAATCTCAAAATTCAAACCAAACCTACAAATTTAAAGACATACAAAAATTTGATGTAATCCTAAAATTCAAATTCAAATCTAAATTCAAATCAAAATTTCTCAAATTATGCCAGAAGAAACACACCCAGTATTTTTTTTTCAATATCTTATTGCACAAACAATGTAAGCATAATAAATATTGGTTAGTATAAGAAGAAAAAACTGATTGAATAATGGTATGATTGGTCTGCACTCTCTACAGTGATGTTTAATTATAATTCAATCCCCATTTTATAACAATTGGTCACTCCCTCCTTTACTTATTTAGTTTAGTATTAATCTATCTTTTATATTTTCTCTAGTAAGAATTTAATGTATCTCTAGAATATTTTAAATGCTTTCAAATTTATTTAATATACTTATAATACATTCAGCTTAAATTTGTCCATCTAGTTCCGAATCTCCAGTTCACTGGTTTTCGAACCGCTTGTTACGGTTTATATATTTGTCAAACTATGAATTATTGGTTCAAACCGCTGATTTACAGTTTCAACCGGCAATTCGGCCATTAAATTTTTTTTTTATTATTTTGAACATGCACGCCGGCTGCGACTGTGGATTGCCGACTGTCGATTATGGAATGTTATGGGCTAGTGGCAACCGTGAAGAAGAATGAGGAGGAAAAAAGAAAAAAAAAATGAAACCCTTGCATATGTGGAATGTGGATAGTAGATGCTTAGGGCTAAAATTGTATATTATATAATAATATACTTATAATTAAAATTACTATATATAATTAAATTGTTATAAAAATAAAGATAATATTAATATTAATAAAAATAAATAATTATTAATTATATAATAATAATATACATTATTTTGTATATTTATATTTTAGATTTTGTATTTCTTATCATATAATTATATTTAGTTTAAACTATCTTATTATCTAATACACATCAATTTCTTAAAATTTATTTTTTTATTTAATTTAATTTAGTTAATTAGTAAATTTATTATTTTAATTACTTTTATATTGTAACAATCTTAGCAATTATTATTTATATGATTTTACATAATAAATAAATAATAAATATATCTGAATAGAATCGAAAATAATTATTTTTGAATAAATTTTAAATTTAGAAAAATTTAAAAAGGAAAAAGAAAATTATTAAAAATGAATATACATAAATCGGCGGTTCAAACCGTAACCGTCAATTTTTTAAAACGTAATCGAAATTGTCAAACCATAACCGAAACAGTTAATCAGAAGGTTCGGTTTTGCTTTGCATTTTGATAAACCATAACCGGCGGTTTGAACCGTTTTGGCGTACTTGATATAATGTAATATTGTTTGTAAATATATAATAGCAAAACCCCACTTGGACGTATTGTGGTACATGAACACCAACAATGGGTATTTGACGGTCCCCTTTTATGTATAATAATTCAATTACACGTATCGTGAAACGTAATATTATCTGTTGGGTATGTAGTTGATCTCCCGAAGCACAATGATGTAGTATGGTATTACTGTGCTATCAAGGTCAATAAAGTCTCGAAAAATAATAATCGAATTGGTATAAAGTAATCAGAGCTTATTGTCTTGTATTCATTAGACCCATACCCAATTAATTGTAATTGATACACTAAGAGAAACGGGAGAATGTACTATCGTGTATAGACACAAACAACAAGTATGTGATAGTGCTCATTTTTCTATGATACTTTAAAGCCATATGTTTCTGAAAACATATCAGAGTTATGAATCATTTTAGAGAGTGTACAATTGATTTATCGAAGCACATGAGTGGTAGCGTAGGTACCAATCTATCAAAGTCACTTTTGGTCATATATTAAATCATAACAATTATTAACATGAGCAATAAAGGTACACAGTTAGAAAACTCTGTCACGAGATTATGATTTTCAGTTACATAAAAGACTGCAGTATGTACATAACTAGTAGAATTTCGTACACGAAACCAAGTTGGGGGTACGACATAGCTGCTCTGGAGTACTCACCTGTTTAGCCGAGTCAGACCTTATGCTTAGATGCCCTTGACCAAAAGTTGTTGTGTGCACTACGGTGTAAATTAATATATAATAGGTCTAAAGATTTTCAATTTGTGGTAGCAATTATGTACTCTAACAACCAATATAATTCAACTTAGTCACTTATAACTTTGTTAGACATCTACTAGTTGCGGTTGCACTATAATAGTACATATATCATACAACTTATCTACGTCATTCTTGACTTGGTTAACCATTCATAATAAATATGTGTTGTTTACCTTTTTCTGACAATTTGGGGTGTCACAAGAAGATTATCATAATGAACGTATTCTTAGTTCTGTCAACAAATGAATATTTTGAACAAAAAACGATCATTCTCCAACCACATGTTATCAGAGCATATATACTCTTTACTGAAGCATATGAAACTATTATTATAAGTAGTTAAACCTGTCCTAGGGTATGTAGATATTTTATGTAAGTACGTAAGAATGTAATCTGGGTACTAACACCTACATGCGAGGTATAAATAATGGTTTCTTAGGTATTATTTGTGTATTATCACACATCTTAAAGTGTAGTTAATTTCAGTCATTTCCATGGAGATGGGCCAATTCGCGTACTCAGTGAGAATACTTCCTCTCTCAGCCTTGGTGATCTAAATGTTGTTGTGTGTACTACGGTGTGGATTACTACGTAATATGTCTAAAAAAAACAATCAATTTGTGAGAATAGTGATGCATGAGTAACAACCAACAAACTTAACAACGTCATTTCTTATTTATTTAGTCATCTATAGTAAACATGTGTTCTTTTCTTTACTTACATGTCAGAAAGTCGTGAGAACACAATAATGATGAATTTATCTATGGTTACTAAGAGAAATTGAGTATCTTGAACCAAACACGGTTCATTTTTCCAACCATATATAACTAGAGCATAAATACGCGTTAGTGGAGCATATGACTTTAAATTGCATGTACATAAAAATTACACTGGGGTATATCTTTAGTGCACATATGTAACAATATCCTCAGGGTACAAACACCGAAAGTCAATGTATGATTGGTGGTTAATTAAATATTATATATATAGCTACATGTATTTTAAAATGTGGTTGATATACGAAGAAGACAATTAAAGCACTTCATAAGAGCACTACCTCTATCAATGGGGTATATGCATGAGTGTTAATGATACATGCACGAGTGTTTAGGATGTGTGCTTGAATAATATATTTTTTTTAATATATTTATTTTTTAGGTTTGTTGTTATAATTAGAATTATTGAATAAGAAAAAAAAATTGACTCTATTTATTTTTATTGATTCTTTTTAAAAAATTAAAGCTACTTTTTTTTTAAAATAAAATTATATTTATATTTATTTTACTTTCACGTTTTATAATAAAAAATGAAAATATTCGTAAAGATTTAAAAAAAATTATACAAAATTGTGACATGCATATTTAATATAAATATTTTGATAGGAAAAATTATTTAATTGTATTTTCTTGTAAATTTTATTTTCTATAGAATAAGGATTTATTTGTATTCTGAAATTAACATATTTTTCTACAAAAATTAGTATATTACACACATTTATTATGTTTATATTATCTACACATTTTTTTATATCTCACATAAAAAATTCCTACAAATCAAAATGCAAAACAAACGAACTCTAAGATTTATACATAATAAATATTTAATCTTAAAAAAATGTATCTTATATATAAGATTTTAAATATTTGATAGAATAATTATTTATATATATATATAGATAGATATATTGTTAATATTAAATTAAATCATATAATAAAGTTTATAATATGTATAATATTTTTAATAATAGAGACTTAATGTAAATTTTACACCAGTGACAGCGAGTATAGACGAAAAAATTGTAAAAAATATCTCACACTTATACACTACTATCACTTATATCGTTGACAAAATATATTCCACATGTTTACAAAAGCCGTTATTTATATCATTTGCCCGCGCTTGACATTCACACCGCGCGCCTTTACGCGCGATCACGTGCAGCTAAAGGATAGAAATAGCTACATTTGCAAATATGTGAAATATATTTTACCAGCGAAATAAATACAAGACAAAAATAATAATGGAATATAAGTGTGAAATATTTTTTACAATTTTCCCGACCTGTGTTTGTTTGGGGGTTTGGATTTTGAGTTGAGATTTGAATAGTAAAAATTTTGAGTCTGAATAGTTTGTATGATGTGATATAAATAGGTATTGACGTGATGTTTTGAATGTAAAATTAATTTTTAATATAATATAAAAAATAAAAAATAAGTATTTAATTTAATATTTTTTTAAAAAAAATTGAAATGAAGAATGTACCAAACAAACACAAGTTCCCCTTGAATAATTCTGCGGCACGGGATCCTCTGATCCGGTTTTGCATAGCTCCGCATGTACCTTGTGTATTTAAAATGTGTAACTAGTCCGAAATTCCAGTAGTATCCCTTATCGGCGGTTGGCAATCCCGACAAAAATACTGAAAACGGGGAATGGCAGTATCGTCTTTATGTTATTATGTAGCTCCGCCTATATAATCCCTCTTCTATAAAACTTAGGGTATAAAAGTTGCAGAGTTCCTCCACGCTTTTCTGCGCTGCTCTGCATATTTCTCCATCTACAAATGCAACAAACCTTAGCAAATTTCCTGCATCCATTAGAGATCGAAAGAACGGGTTTTTGGTTTTACCTTTATGGTTGAAATATTTTTTATCTGAATCCGTTTCGAAAGTAAAATTTTGGTTTTGGTTCTGTAAGGATATCCTGCTATCGGAGAATAATGACGTCTACTTTCGAGCTCTACAGAAGGTCAACTATTGGGATGTGCTTGACTGAAACATTGGATCAGATGGTTTCCGGTGGAATTTTGAGTCCTGCTCTCGCCATTAAAGTCTTAATTCAGTTCGACCAGGTTACAATCTGTGTGTTTGGCTCTGTGCTTCTAATATTCTTGTTTTTTGTTATGATGACTATATTCGCGTTTTGTTTATGAGCATTTATATAAAATTTAGCTATTATGCTGTTGCTATTTGGGGTTGAAGAATTGTTGCAATTAACTTTTGAAAGACGTGACTGTAAATGTCTTAAACACTCGTTATAAATCTAAGATGCAATGAGGAAATTTTGATGTCACTTCTAGTTATGAGCAAAAACCTATATTGTTTTAAACTGAAGTCTTATAGTAAATTTCTTATGAATCTAGAGTAATGCTGTTCTAATTTATGCATTATACTTTCTATGTCCTTTGTATTATTCTTTATCTACTTATTATATATATATATATATATATTAATTTTCTTTATATTTAAATTCATTTTAGTTTAGCTCTCATTCTGCATAAAATCTATTGGTTTGTGTTATAATAAATAGTAGAACTAATAAATTGTTAATTTAATTATTATGCTCATACAGAGTATAAGTTGTTTGTTAGCTAAGAGTTTCCCTTTTCACATTAACTGTGTCATGGGTCATGGAAAAATGGAGTGAAATAGATGTTTAGATTATCAAATTGTTTGGGAGTAAAATAGCTAACTTTTCTATGTCCAACTGGTAAATTGTATCCACTAGAGGTAGATATTGCTTAAAATTATGTGCATGGTGCCACTTCTTGTACTCTATATCTGAACAAAAAATGTAAAGAATAGGTTAAACTTGATTATTAAGATTTACATGGCATTGGATCCCATGATTGGGTGTTGGCACACCTAATGATTTGCTTTCACCTCCACATCGATCACTTAAGTGGCATTTCCTTGGTTTGCAGTCAGTGACTGAAGTTATAGACAATGAGGCGAAGAGCAAAATTTCCATTAAGGTAAATGGCTTTTAAATTTACAAGATATAATATTATAATATACCACTTTTGTGCTTCCATACTTATGGTGGTTGTGACTAATTTTGTAAATGAGGTTGGGGTTTTTTGGAATGGGAACGTTGATAACTGTGTCTTTGTTCTTGCACCCATGTACTTTTAATTGTGCCTTTGTAGTAGCATTCATTCCTCGAATCAGAAAATACAACCAAAAAACAAAAAAGAAAAAAAGAAATTAATTGCTTCTCCATGGATCATTTTGTCTTTTTTCTTCATTATTGTTTCAATGGCCATTATATGTTGTGTACTGCATTAATTTGATCTTTACCGATACTCAAGAACACACAATTGTATGTGGTTTGGTAGTTTAGGAGTAATAAAATGTTTAGTTGAAATAAATTTTTGATACTACGATTTGAATAAAATAAGTTCTTTGATATAATATGTTAAATGAAAAATAGGTGTTTCATGTTATGATTTTGAAGGGGAAAATATTATGATAAATGGTGTTGAAACTCATGTGAGACCACAAACAAACAAAACCCATACTGTTTAGTCAATGTGCAAAAAAGACTGCAGATATGAATGTGAAAGATACTGGACCATATCAACACCCAACAATTTCTTTTGAACTTGAAAGTTTTGGTCTGGCAATTGTAACTGGCTTGAACTAAGCCTGATGCTAAGCATTCATATTTTGCAATCAGTTCATACGGGCCAATATGATTATTTAATGCATTTTTCCTATTGAATTTTTTAGTGATATTTTTGGCCCTTGTGTGTATATTTTACATATTGCTTCAATATTCCATAACCTCTGATATCACCATATGCCACGGATTCTTATTGTAGGGACATCTTCACACGTACCGTTATTGTGACAATGTTTGGACCTTCCTCTTGCAAAATGCTCAGCTTAAAAGTGAGGAAGGGCAGGAAACTGTTGAATCATTGAAGATTGTTGCGTGCGACTCCAAGTTACTAACAGAGTGAAAAGTGAATTGTATGCTGGTTGGCACAACAACGCTGCTGTAAGAGACAGATCCTGCCAAAGATGGGCTTTATCCCAATGCAATCCCAGATACTGTCGGTATTTTCTTGTAATAACATTGAATAAGGGGTGGGGTGGGGTGGGGTGGGGTGATTCTACACTGTGATTTTGATTAGATGAATGGATGACATTTATATCCAATCCTTCTCTATTATGAACTTCACTTATTAAGTAATTAAGGATGTGTTATTGTGACCCTATTATTAAGGAATACTTGTAAATCTTCATACGTATGTATATTGGAGGCTCTGTTGATATGATGCTCTAAGGCGTCATACTGTTTTGGCTTCTTAGAGCAGACACAGTGATTCATTGTTCTTTTAATTTTATGCAATTACCTACCACTTTCATATTTGTATAGGGATGAATGCAGCCTTTGAAGTGAGTGAAGAGGCAAGTTCAATCGACCCCCACCCGGTAAGAGTCGATGCAAATGTTAGACAGAGGGTGTGGGTGTGGCCGTTGGGGTGGGTGGTTGGTTGTTCCTATGTTTATAAGCTGAGTTGTGCAGTAATTGGATGATGCTAATTATATGAAAATGCTGTTGTGTTCATTAGGATACAAATTTTCATGTGCGGATTTTTTATTAAACATGTCTATTGCATTGTGGTCTTGTGTAGTTTTTACTATTTAATGGTTCTATTGTCGTCTGCTTCCCTTATTCTAGAATGATTTGTCTTGTGTTTTATTATTCTCTTTTTTACGTAACTTTGTAGGCGCCGGTTAGAGTGAGTACTAATGTGAAACCATTACTAGATCTTGTATGAATTATATATTGTGTTGTATTGTATAATCTGATTGTTTGGATTGAAATTAAAGTATGTAATTGTATAATATGGGATCAAATTATATGTTATATAGATATTAAGGTATGTTATCAGATGTGTATACTTTTCTTGTAAACATGTGTTGATTTGGTCACCCATTCAATTCATTAACCAAAGCGAGCTTTGTATGTTCGTTTACAGCACTTTTAATTTGCAACACTTTTGGCATTCATTGTAACAATCTGGCCGGCTTAAACCAGAGTGTGATCACGTGACACCGGAAGACTTATTCATCAACCAACGAGTCATACGTTGTGGCGCTAAGGCTAAAATAATGAATACAAATAACTAAATAGGGATTTGAAGCTCAAAGTACACGTAAATCAATTTATTTATTAGTTTGCGAGAGGCGTCAAACGGTTCACAACCCTCTAGTCTCTAATATAACATACCAAGAGGGGATTGTATGCAATCCATCTCTTTATCACGGATGACGGTCTAAAGACCTTTTCATCGTCAATGACGGACACCTCGGAATCATCCAAAATGGAACCCGTCATCTCGATCCCTCGGCCTACCCATTCGGGTTCTAGTTTGAGGTTAGCTAGTTATCCTAAAATACCGATATTTCCTCACGTGTTTGCAAGGCACAGAGGTGGAAGGTTATGCCTTATCATCCAAACAATCGACGAGTTGATCAGACTCGACGGGTAGTTTTCATTACCAATTTGACCCAATACTCAACATGTTATTAGGCAAATTTCAAAAAGAAAACTTTAAACTCAAAACATTTCAATTACCAACATTTAACCAAACAATTCTTCAACATCATATCCCACAATCCTTTGAAATGTCAATTATTTTGATTTGTTTTAAATTATCAATGATTATATTTTGTATAGAGGTATATTTATTTTCATCTTCCTATGTTTTATTTTGTAGTAAAATGTTTGCGATGTTAGGTTGACGGAGTTCTTTTTTTTTTTTTTTTTTTTTCCCGTAGGCACTTATTTCTTGCGTGGATTGACTTTTGAGTGCCGAAAGTCCTAATCGATGTCTCTATCACAGTGGTGATTGTTGATGCTTTTTCTTTTTTTGTGTGACAATTTTATTGGTTTGTACTATGTGCATAGATGTCTTTGGTTATAATTTTTGCGATTCAAATATTTCATCAATTACTAAACGATTTTTTTGTTGAAAAATGTTTTTAAGAGGATTTTTTATTTCTCCTATTAAGAGGTTCATTTGATATTGTTGGCTATTTAATATAAAAGGAGCGGTAAATTGAGTTAAAAATAAATAAAATGTGTATACAATAATTTATGGATGTAAATATTACAAGTATTGTTGTTATTTAATTTTGAATCGATCTTTCAGTATTTGTCATCATTGTTGTTATTTTTGTTTCTCTTATTTTATCTGTCCAACTCATCTGCCAGAAAAAACAACACTTTCATACAGTAAATCAAACAGTTATGGATTTATGGAAGGTTGTGGGATATTATACAAAATTTTAAAATGTACATATTATACATGACCACTTTTTTTTTTTCCATTGGAGTAAGAGGAGTGTAAACATGAGTATTTTAATATTTGTAACGAATGTATAAACATATTTTCTAGGCTTATTATACTATAAAAATATGTTTGTAAATTAACAAAAAATGTATATATTAGTATGACTGAGGTATATATTATGAATATAGACGTATAAGTTGTCGATACACAAGTATATAAACATATACTATGTTGTATCATAAAATGATTGATTTATTGATTTTTATCAATATCATGATCAATATATTGTCAATAAGATGCATTTATCAATAAAGAATTATGACAGACATAATATCCAAAATGAGTTCAATATTAATGATCATAAAATAGATATCAATAGCTTTTGTTGATAAATGCTTATATCTAATAAAACTGTTGGATTTTTATCTAATTAGATCAACTCCAATATAAGATACACACACCTACTATTCAACCCACTTTATAACTGGCCCCGACCCACGACCCGCTCCCGCCACCCAGAACTGTCTGGACCCGCGACCCGTGACCCGATCCGCCTTGGATCCACGTCTTTTGCCTAATCTTGATTTTGGCCGTCCAATTGTGGATCTATATCTAGTCCGTCCATTGCTTATTGGCTTGAATATATATATATATATACAGAGAGAGAGGGTTGTCTTTCATAATTCACTCACGTTTCTCTCTCTATATAGACTTTCCCTCTCTAGCTCTCCCATCTCTCCCTCTCGACCTCTCTGTTTGCCTTCCCGGTGACTTTTTCCGGCAGTTTCATGGCGGTTCTTGGTGGCGCCTTCCTCCTGTAACTTGTGGAGGCTCTTTGGCGTGGTGTTTCACCCCCTGGTTGTTGTTCGTAGCCGCAAAGGGCTCGTTCAACCTTTAGGCGTTTGTATTTTTGTTTGTTTCGCTTTGTATGTTCTTGAGGGGGTTGATTTTTGCGTGAGTTGTGTGTTTCGGGCTGGTTTAAAGTGTGTAATCGCTAGTAAGGAGCATTTTGTGTGTCGATTTACTGTTTTGAGTGGTTAGGGGTTGAGCCTAACCAAAACTAGTATAATATTTGTGTTTTTACTCATTTTTTGTTAATAAACTTTTCAATCTATTCCATATTTTATATTACAAGTGGTATCAGAGCATTTTTGTTGGTTTACGGTTATGAAATCGAGTATTAGTTTTGGTTTTAAGGGTTTTTGGTTGTAACTCTTTAGATCTACGAAAGGATCTGGTTGAATCGAACGATTTTTTGGCTTTTCGATTCTTTTCCTAGTAAATCTGTTAGATACCGGCCAAAATCTCACTCAATCTGTGCTTTTTAGCCTCGGTCGTGTGTGATTTATGTTGTTAGTGACTTAATCGCTACGGATCTGTGTAGTTGGTTAAGTTTGACACTAGAGTTGGTTAGTTTGTTACAAAACCGTTTTATTTTTTAAACAAAACGAGTTTTGTATTCCAAATTTTTAAATAAAAGTTGTGTAAATCGAGTTGATAGCCTCTGTTTTGTATAGATCTGTTCTTTGGAGTCAAAATACAAAAGTTTTTGTAAACCTTAAGAGTTTGGTAAACAATTTTTAAAAGATCTCTATATTTTTTCAAACTATAATCTCGTTTGAAATCTTTAAATCTTTAAGCCTTATCATTTTGTTGTTTATTCATTGAGTCGACATTGTGAAATCACAAAAAGTTTTGGGGATTCTAATATTTTGTTAGAAGAGAAACAAAATTTTGAGTTAGTTTTTTGTTTTTGTGAATATTTTAAAGTTTGGCTAACCCCTATTTTCTATAAAAGAGAATAGGTTTTGTTTACTGTGATATTCTTACTGTTTTGTAGGAATATAAATTGTTTGTTGCTGTGCTACGAGGATAACCCCTTAAAACTCACAAAATTTACTGTTTTTGGATGATTGTTTAAATTCAGCATTTAATTTTTGCGCCCAAAAATAAATTGTAAAGGCTATTGTGAAACCAAGGTTACTAAACTCCGATCTTCATTTTGTGAGTGATTCTCGAGTACCTCGGTTGAATAGTCACAAGTGTATATTGTAATAGATACGCTATATTTTTTTTATTGCCTAAATTGCTTGTTGTGATTGCCTGATTATCGATAATCTGTCATTGTCTGTTATTCGTGTGATTAACTTGCAAAATAATCTGTTTCTGTGTGAAAATTAAAATAAATAGTTTTATGGATTTTTTTTAAAAAAAAAACAGAATCTGGTATTTTTTTTAAAAAAAAATCAAAATCTGTTTTTATTAAAAAAAAAATGGCTGGTAGTTCGAGTTTTAATATATTGCCTTTTGATGGAAAAATGAATTTTGCAATTTGGAAACAAAAAATGAGAAGCATTTTAATCACTCAAAGAATAATTAGAGCAATTGAGCCGGATCATGTAGCTTAAGTCCCTCTAGAGAAGAGAACTGAGTTAGATGAAATGACTCACTCTATTATAATACTGAATTTAGTAGATCATGTAATTAGGAAAGTAGGTAAACAAGAATCTGCTTTGGAATTATGGAATAAATTGGATGAACTATACAACTCAAACTTCACTTCCTAGTAGATTATATTTGTTAGAAAAAATTTTCAGTTTTAAACTTGATTTGTCAAAATCAATTGATGAAAATCTGGACAGTTTTTCAAAATTTATACAAGATATAAAGCTTACTGGTGATAAAAATATTAATGATTATAGTGCTATAGTTTTTTTAAATGCTATTCCTAATTCATACATTGATGTAAAATCTACTATTAAATATGGGCGTGATTATGTAACATTAGATGTAGTCATTAATGGGTTAAAGTCTAAAGAGTTAGATTTACAAATTCATAAGTCCAATAAGGGTGAAGTCATATATGCTAGGGGTAGGTCTCCTTTTAGATCAAATAAAAAGAGCAATTCTGGAAATAATAATAATAGTAATAAAAACCAGAATAATAGAAATAAATATAGGTCTAAAAGTAGAGGAATCAATAGATCTAGAACTCCAAATAAATGGGGTAAAAGATGTTTTAATTGTGGTGATCCTAACCATTTTATACGTGAGTGCCCTAAATGGAAAATTAATAATGTTTCAAACAGTAATAATAATGGTAGCCAACAACATGTTAGTGAGTTAGCCAATATGACATTACTTGATCGTAATTGTGGTGATGTATTTACTATTACTGTCGACTGTTTGAATGTGAACAATGTATGCATGAA